ATTCTACAACTGGATTCTCATCTGAATCTTAAGGGGAATGCTTCCAGATATGCTCCTACACATCGCTGTTAGGTTGCTTTGTCGGGATAATTTTAACACAGTGAGTAAATGTTCTAAGAACACGGTTTGTGGTCTTCGAACATTTATGTGTTCTAAGAACATCACGTGGTACGTAGGCCTATAGGAATGCCCAGACAGTCGGTCCCTGCTCAAGTCTGGGAGATTCCTTCTTGCATCGGCTTGATCCCGGCTTAATCCAGAGCTTAATCAGGGCTGGTCTGGCTGAATGGCCCCCGAGTCGGGCTCTACAGCCTTTTAAAAGCCTTTACTCGTTCTTACGGCGGCTGCCTAGGAGTTGCTTCCGAACTGCCACGTTGCTTGGCCAGGGTCACCCTTGGGCCCGAGGACGGCGTATAGACCCTCCTGGTCTCGGTCAGGAGGGCACCGTGCCGGGGCACCGGGTGGCCTTAGACAGGCATATTGGCGATATAGGTGGGTCTTGTGCAGGGTACCCAGAAGCTCGGGCTCATGAGGACATAGCGACGGACGGTGTCTGGCAGTTTCCAGCCTCCGGTGGGCGTTGTTGGCCAACGGGGTCGTCAGAACAAGGATTGGGGATGCAGAGCCGATTCCAGGGAAGGGGACGAGAATTCTGGAGGTCCACGCTGTGAACAAATCACGACCTCGGGGGTATTGGTAGCGAGACTTGGGCGGGAAGGTTCGACAGAGCACTTGACTTCGCCCAGTGCTGTGTCTTTTCCTTTGGGAGAGTGTCTGTGTATCGAAGACGCCTACGGCGAATCACCGCCGCCCCCTGCCTTTGTGGAAGCGCCTATGTGGCCGAACGTTGAGGCCAGACCTGCCAAGCCATCGGACCATGTGTTCCCCGAATCGGTTTGGAAAGCCTTCGGGGAACACGTGGGCGTCTTGATGGTCATCGTCGCCGTCTTGGAGGCCTCTTGGGCGATCTTTCGGCGATCTTTGGGGGCTCTTGGGCCGTCTCGGGCCGTCGGAAGGCCGAAAAAAGGGAAATGCCCAAATCCATCAAAAACCTTGGGAAAATCAGTGATTTTGGCATCTTTTGGCCTTCCTGGAGGCCCTCTTGGGGGCCTCTTGGGCCCTTTTGGGCCAGCTTCGAGCCAACTTCGGCCATCTTGGTGGGTTCCTGGCACGTCTGACGCCGTCGGGAGCCGTTTTGGGGGCCTTTCTGGGCCAACGGGGGACCCTCTTGGGGCGCTCCAGGGCCGTCTTGGAGGCCATCTTGGGCGTCTTGGAGGCCATCTTGGGCGTGTTGGAGGCCTCTTGGGCCGTCTTGGGGCCCTCTAGGGGCCATCTTGGAGGCCACTTGGGCCATCAGGGGGCTCTCTTGGGGGCCTCTTGGGCGATCTTGGGGGCTTCTTGGGCCGTCTTGAGCCGTCGGAGAGCCGAAAAGGCGCAAATGCCAAATCCTTCAAAAACCAAAGGAAAATCAATGATTTTGGCCTCTTCGGACTCTCCTGGAGGACCTCTTGGAGGCCTCTTGGGCCGTCTGGGAGGCCTCTGGGGGGCCTCTTGGGCCGTCTTGGGCCGTCTTGGACTCTCTTGGGCCGTTTTGGAGGCCGTCTTGGACCATCTCGGGCGGACTTGGAGGCCATCTTGGGCCATCTTCGCGATTTGTTGAGGATGTCCCGAGCGAAACGGCCGTTTTTGGAGGATTTTTTCCGGTCGTTGAGCACCCTTCCGGGTGGCCGGCGGGTTCTGCCGGAGCCCACTGGGGAGTTCTTTTGGAAAAAGAACCAAAACCAAAACCTGAAACATCCAGCACGCCGTGCACCCCTGCAAGCAGGGGGCGGCGGATCAAGCTGCCTGCGGCAAGTCCCGCCACCGTGTCAGCCCAGCATTGTGGGTGACGACTGTTCGAGGGTGGGAGAGTCTGGATGAAGATGAGGATGTTGATGCTGATGACGGAGATGAAGGTGATGATGGTGATGATGATGATTATATTGGGTATGATGTTGATGAGGAGGATCATGAGGATGAGGATGATGAGGATGAGGATGTTGAGGATGATGATGTCGATGTTGATGATGGTGTTGCTGTTGACGTTGATGGTCATCATGCTGTTGATGATGCTGACGGTGTTGTTGATGATGATGATGATGGTGATGATGATGATGATGATGATGGTGATGGTGATGGTGATGGTGATGGTGATGGTGATCGTGATGGTGATGCTGATGCTGATGGTGATGATGATGATGAGCAGCATCATACTAATGATGACGCTGATGATGCTGATGATGAGGATGATGATGGTGATGATGATCATGCGGATGATGGTGTCGATGAGCATGAGGATGATGGTGGTCATGATGGTGGTCATGATGATGATGAGGAGGAGGAGGAGGAGGAGGAGGAGGAGCAGGAGCAGGACCAGTAGGAGGAGGAGGAGGAGGAGGAGGAGGAGGAGGAGGAATGCCTTCGTGTGACAACTCGTTTCCACTACTTCAGGAGCTCTCGTGGAATTCGTTTGGGCCGTCTTGGCCGCTCTTGGCCTCCTGTGGAGCAGTCTTTGGCACCGGGCTCCTGTTGGACCCTCTCGGGGCTCTCTCTTGCGCCCTGGGGCTCTCCGTGGCCGTCCGGGGCCCTCCTGGCCGTATCTCGGCATCGCTCGGACGTGTGCATTTTTTCCCGGCGAGAACCATCGAGGACCATCCTGGACCATGGAGCAAGAAAAAAACGCACGACACCAAGAAATGCACAAGAAATGGATGTCCGAGCGACGGCAAGGAATGCGGTGCGCGTCTGGGGGGCCGCGGGAAGCGGGGGGGAAGTCAAATACCCAGAAAATATGGGAACATATGGCGAAAATATGCTCGATGGCGAGCGCGGTCTGGGCCTTGCCCTGCGTAGCGATATTGTATTGTCATGCCTACACGACCGCCCTGCGGGCGATAAGGAGGTTGGGGGGGGGGATTGAGATCAAATGCCCACCCTGACTGACCTCCAACCTGTCACCTTCATCTTATCCCTCTCTTTCTCTCTGTCTCTCTCTCTCTCTATGTCTCTCTCTCTCTCGCCCTCTCTCTCTCTTTCCCTCTCTAGCAGAGTCTCCCTCCACCACGAAGATGATCGCGATGACGATGATTTCCCACTATCTACCTATCCGTCGACCGACCTATCGGTGAATTTCACTGTCGATCTCACTGTCGACCTCAAAAGCAAAATGAGACAGCCCGCCGCAGGCGCCGAACAACGATTTGTTGTCGGACAACCACAGGACAACCATCGGCGCAACCACCAGACAACCATCAGGACAATCACAAGACAACCACGAGACAACCATCGCATACTAGATAATATCTGTCTCTCTCTCTCTCTCGCTCTCTGTTTCTCTCTTTCTTTCTCTCTATCAGTCTCCCCCTCCACCACAATGATGGCAGTGATGATGGCAGTGACGGAAGGACGCCATGGGGCGGCTTCCGAAAGGCAAGGGCACCGAACGCTCGAGCCTCGCAGTCTGCCGCGATCGCGCCCAGGCGCCGACAAAAATACATTGATGGATTGGGTTGGGTGGATTGGATTGGATGGGATACGATGGATTGGATATGATAGGATGGTTTGGATTGGAAAATATGGATTGGATATGATAAGATGGATTGGACTGGCCCGCCGCAGGCGCAGCAATAAGTGAATTGATGGATTGGGTTGGATGGACTGGTTTGGGTGGGATAAGATAAGATGGGAGGATATGGGTTGGATAAGATACAAGGGATTGGGTTGGACAAGATATGCTGGATTGGATAAGAAAGCCCGCCGCAGGCGCCAACAAAAATAAATTGATGGATTGGGTTGGGTGGTTTGGATTGTATGGGATAAGATGGAGTGGGTAATCTAACCTGGGTTGGATTGGAATAGGGGATTGGATGAGATAAGATGGATTGGGTTGGCCCGCCGCAGGCGCAGAAACAATTGAATTGATGGATTTGGTCGGATCGATTGGATTGGGTAGGATAAAATAAGGTGGGACACGATCGGTTGGATAAGATACAATGCATTGGGGTGGCCAAAATAGATTGGATGCGATAAGCTGGATTGGATAAGAAAGCCCACCGCAGGCGCCGAAAACAAATAATTAAGAAATTCGCGACACGCGTTAGCGCCGGGCCGCCCGGGACACCAGGGACACCCGGGACGCCGCCCGGCCCAATTGGGGCACCTCCAGGCCACCGGCGGACGGGAAACGGACTTCCGCTCCTACTTCGGCCTAGCTACAGGAGGATCACGCGCAGCTTCGCCTCGCACGCACGACGCGAACACGAAACCGAATCTGGTTCTTCGGGGGGGGGCCGGACCTCAATCTGCTTTGCCCGCCTTCCTGCTTCATGAAAATACATGTTTCTCTTGACCGAGGTGTACTACAGTCGGGGCGCTGAAGAAGGAACCCGTTTCGTTGGGGAGGGGCCCGGTGTTCTTGGATCGTTGTGCAGGTTGCCAATCGGGTTGCCTTTGGTACTGCCCGTAGGTCTTCCATGGGGAATCGAAGTTCAACTTCTGGGAAAAAGGGGCCTCGTTCCCCATTTAGTCGGGGTGGACAGACCTCCTACCTTGACACGTCGATTCAGGAATTGGCCGTTTCCGGTTCGCGGGAGGGCGTCGCGGCCGTCATTTTTGCGGGTCCGGGTCCGTCGGTTTCGGCCCCAGGCCGTCTACTAAAGGGACGTTTGTCCACCGCCGATTCAGGGTTTTTTAGTAGGGCAGCGCCCCGACCGCAGGATGTCCCCCGTCTTGGCATCGTTCGGACGTGTGCGTTTTTCCTTCGGCGAGGACCATCGAGGAGCATCCTTGAAACCACGCACGAAACCGAAAAAAACACAGGAAATGGACGTCCGAGCGATGGCCAGATTCAGGGTTCCTTAGGTCAGCGCCCCGACCGCAGGATGGCCCCCGTGCGTCCCGCCGCCATCGCCCGCGCGCCCCCCGAGGGCTCCGCGTTGGACTCCCGGGCGCGCCGCCGAGCCATGGCGGCGGTGCCGGGCGGCACCGCCAGAGGCATGGGCGTCGGGCGCGCGGGCAGGCCGCCGGCGCCGTGGGCAGCACCCAGGAGGGGAAGAAGCACACAGGCACAGTGGATCGTCGATTCCCTGAGCATATTTATCAGCCTCGAACGTATCCCTACCCCTAGGATTGACACGCCAGAAGGCGATGAGGCGATGACAATCTCAGGGATCCGCCCTCAAGAAATAAGGGAAGCCCTAAGATTGGCATCGTGATGAGGAGGTGCCCAGCACAGGGATAGGGATATGTTCCAGGCTGGTAACATATGGGGAAATATGGGAAGTGGGGGGGAAGACAAAACCAAAAACAAAATAGGGGGAAGTATGGGGCATCCTGTTATTGGTTTTATTTGTGCGCGTGTGTGTCCCAGGGCCCCATTCATCCATCGGCTTCACCCAAACATTAAGTCGGGCGTGTCCGTCCACAGGAGGAACATCCAAGCATTGTCAAAAATAATGCGGGGACGATTTGTCCGACTATGTCTGACAATGTTTGAACCTGTTTGGAGTATTGTTACCTAACAGCGTAGACTGATAGGTTTCTAGTTGACTCAAAAGAGCTCACAGATCACTCCACAGGGGGGTCCGGGCAGGTGTTGGGGAGTTGCCGGGCGGCAGGGTGCCGGGCTCGTTTTTCACCAACAGTCACACACTTCGTGCTCTTCGACTTCCCAGAACTCCATTCCCAGGCCACATTCTGAATACCCGGATGCAACAGTCACACACTTCGTGCTCTTCGAGATCCCAGAACGCCATTCCCGGGCCACATTTAGAATAACCGGATGCAACAGTCACACACTTCGTGCTCTTCGACATCCCAGAACGCCATTCCCGGGCCACATTTTGGAATAACCGGATGCAACAGTCACACACTTCGTGCTCTTCGAGTTCCCAGAACTCCATTCCCGGGCCACATTTTGGATGCCCGGAGCCAACTGTAGGCCACTTCGTGCTCTTCGAGTTCCCAGAACTCCATTCCCGGGCCACATTTTGAATGCCCGGAGCCAACTGTAGGCCACTTCGTGCTCTTCGAGTTCCCAGAACTCCATTCCCGGGCCACATTTTGAATGCCCGTAGCCCACTGTAGGCAACTTCGTGCTCTTCGACTTCCCAGAACTCCCACTCCTGGGCCACATTTTCAGCAGGGGCAAGAGCACGACGAGGAGGAGGACGAGCAAGACCAGGAGGACGAGGACGAGCAGGAGCAGGACGAGGAGCAGGAGGAGCAGGAGAAGAAGGACGAGCAGGAGGAGGAGGAGGACGAGCAGGAGGAGGAGGACGACCAGGAGGAGGAGGACGACCAGGAAGAGGAGGAGGAGGAGGAGGGGGAGGAGGGAGGGGAGGGGGAGGAGAGGAGGAGGAGGAGGAGGAGGAGGAGGAGGAGGGAGGAGGAGGAGGAGGAGAGGAGGAGGAGGAGGAGGAGGACGAGGACGAGGAGGAGGAGGAGGAGGGGGGGGGAGAGTACCAGGAGGAGGAGAACGAGGACCACCAGGAGGAGGAGGAGGAGGAGGAGGAGGAGGAGGAGGAGGAGAGAACACCAGGAGGAGGAGGACGAGCAAGACGAGGAGGACGAGAACGAGGACGACCAGGAAGAGGAGGAGGAGGAGGAGGAGGGGAGGGGGAGGACTACCAGGAGGAGGAGGAGGAGGAGGAGGAAGAGGAGGAGGAGGACGAGGAGGAGGAGGAGGAGGACGAGGAGGAGGAGGGGGGGGGAGAGCACCAGGAGGAGGAGAACGAGGACCACCAGGAGGAGGAGGAGGAGGAGGAGGAGGAGGAGGAGGAGGAGAGAGCACCAGGAGGAGGAGGACGAGCAAGACGAGGAGGACGAGAACGAGGACGAGCAGGAGGGAGGAGGAGGAGGAGGAGGAGGAGGAGGAGGAGCAGGAGAAAGAGGAGGAGGAGGAGGAGGCAGGCTGAGGCTGAGGCTGTGACTGCGACTGCCGTTGCCGCTGCGACTGTCATCGCGAATGCGACTACGACTGCGAGAACAGCAGAATTCGACAACTGGATTTTCATCTGAATCTTAAGGGGAATGCTTTCAGATATGCTTCTACACATCGCTGTTAGGTTGCTTTGCCGGGATAATTTGCATTTTTCTTTCAAAATCCGCCAGTAGGGGGACATGCCCGACCTAAAATGATGTGTGAGTTTGCACCCCAGCCTTCACGCGCGCGCTGGGGAATGTTATAATACAGTGGAGGCCCATGCCAAGAAACACGCTGCTTGCCTCCAGGGTGCCCTGGGTTTCTTGGGTTTCGATGGTTTCGCTGTGGAAAGCGTGACGGTCCCACACCAAAATTCCATGGACGTCTTGGGGTCTCAGGGTTGGGTTTCTTGTGGAAGGTTTCTTGTGGACGGGCCCCTATTGCATCTGAATGGCGTTCGGCCCGTCCGCCACCGTGCGTGCGTTGTGGGCCAGAGTTTTGAGGGATGCTTCTCGGGGGAGCGCCTTCGGGGGCCTCTTGGGGGCAGTTTAGGGGCCTGTTGGGAGCCTCTCGGGGGCCTCTTTGGGCTGCTCCTGCGGCCTCTCCTGGGGCCTCTTGGGGGCCTCCTGGGGGCCTCTTGGCGCCTCCTGGGGCCTCCTGGGGGCCCCCGGGAGCCGACCCCATTGGAGCCATCTTTGGGCCCTCTTGGGCGCCTCGTGGGCCGCCTCTGGGCCGTCTTGGGGGACTCTGGGCCGTCTTTGAGCGATCTCGGGGGCCTTCTGGGCAGCCTTGGGAGCGTCGGGGAGCCGAACAGGCGAGAAGGCCAAAAATACTCCAGAAGACCTCCCTGAGAGGCCTCTTGGGGCGTTCTGGAGGCTTCTGGGGCCGTCTTGAGGCCATCTTCGACGTCTTTCGGTTCGACCTGTTTGCGCGGCCTGCCTTAAACCCAAGATTTCTGTGGCGGCTAACCGTGTCGGCAACGTGACCCGCGTCACGGGTCGGTGGCCGACGGCGCCAGGGCGCCGAGCTCCGCAACATGATCCGTGCGCCAGCGGAAGCATGGAAACACTTACATTTTCCCAAGCAGTCGTTCAGCGATTCGAGGCCATTTTGGATCGTCTTCGGGGCCTCTTGGGGCCCTCTTGGCCCGTCTTGGGACTCTCTTGGGCCCGAACAAGTCACGCGAGAAGATGCGCCTAATCACAGGTGAGCCGCGACAAGCCCAAGAAGACTTGGCTCCTCGGGAGTGAGGACTGAAGCGTAAAGGGTTGGGCGAAGGACCTGAGGACACACCCACTCCGTGCCGAGTGGCACGGTGGCGAGTATACTCGGTGGTGGGCGCTTTCTGGCCACACTGCCTCGGTAACGATACACTTTCTCAGATGTTTGATGTTTGTGCTGTATGTTCGGTCCGGACGTGCGCCTTGAAGGGGGGCACGCAGTCATAGTATATGTCCCGTTGCGTCACACTCCAGCTTGCCTTGGCTTCGGCTTCTCACCGCCCACCAAACCACCCCAACCAACCCGAACGCCCCGATTTGCCCTCCATTTCCAGTGTGCGGGGGTCGGGGAACATTGAAAAAACACATATGAAGCCCGTACCCCCCCAACCCGAAATTCGGGCGAAGTTCAGGTCTTCGGGTTGGGTTGGGGTGGTTTGGTAGGTAGTCAGCTTCATCTTCGGCCCTGAGAGTTTAACGATTTTCTCCTAAGGACTTGGGGTCAGAGGAGCAAGCGGTTTCGGTACCGCTTCTCTTGCCTCGTTGTCGCCTTTGCGGGCCTCTTGGGAGGCCCTCGTCGTCACGGCTCGATTCGCGTCGAAATGTTGACCATATCGTATTATTGTTGGGAGGGGTCCAGGGAGAGGCGATATTGGTACCTCTTGGCTTCTCCAGCGGAGATCAAACCAGGTAAATACAGACACATCGAGCTACATTCAGGAGTGAGCCATGGTGGACTTCAAACAGTGTGCTTCTAGCAAATTGTGTTCTGCAACCTATGAGGTCGTGGAATCTATGTGGTGCAACCTACTTTGACTGTCTTGATGCTGTCCTCTCCAGTGCTTGTGCAAACATCCCACCCTCCCACCCGCAACTTGATCGCAAGACCTCTTAAGACCGTGACGGTAGGTACCAAATTTCATTTGGCACCGACACCGACACCGACGACGACAGCGACGACGACGCCGACGACGACTACGACGACACCGACGACGACTCCGACGACTTCGACGACGACGACAACGACGACGACGACGAGGACGCCGACGACGACGACGACGAGGACGACGAAGACGACGACGACGAGGACGACGACAACCGCGACGACGACGGCGGCGACGTCATAGGAGGGACGACGACAGGACGACGACGACGGACGACGACGACGACGACGAGGGAGGAGGAAGGAAGACCACGGCGAGAACGACGACGGAAACGACGACGACGCCAAAGAGGACGACGACGGCGACGACGAGGAAAGACAGGCTGATCACGCCGACGACGATGACGGCATTTTCGTGTCGGTGATGGAGGTTTCCGAAGGAATTCGAAATGCGCGCGCGGCAGACGCGCGAGAGTGGCTCGCATAGTCTTATTTGACAAGGATCGCACCACCCCAGCACGCGCGCAGGGGCGTTCGAAGGATTTCGACATGCGCGCGCGAAGCCCATTGGTAGCATGTTAAGCACATGCTGAAACACAACAAAGCATGGTTGTCGTAAGAAATCGCAAGAGCGCGCGCGCACACGTCTTTCTGTGTTTATATGAATAGATATACAACACATTCCGTGCTGCGAAGCCACGTATGTTTTTGACGCCTCTCCGAAACCGAAGGTTTTCGACGGATTTCGGCATGCGCGAGCGACGACGCGCGCGTGTGCATTTCGTCTCGTTTTTGTCCGCAAGGGATTCTAGAAACTTCTGGTGTTTGATACACGAGCGCGCGCGCAAACTATGTTTTGCAGAGGATGGCGGGGGGGGGACCGCCCCCCCTGAAATAGTGTAAATTCGTGCGTGGGGTGCACGATGGGGCAGAACCAGATGTACATTGAATTACGAACGAGGGAGATCGTTAAGGTTTTTGGGGGGTGAAGG